ATGTCAATATTCGCATTTTTGGCATGGTACCCTATATTAAAAATTCGAGTTCTCAACGAAGAAACAAGATGTTTGGGCAATTGTTTATAAATCCAGTGGCGGTTTTTTCTTGCGCTTTTAAATAAGTATAAATGTGCGTAAAGTTATATGCGGTTTAATTTTTAACATTTGAGTCGCATAACCTAATTTTAACTTTTTTTGTAGAACAAAAGTCTAGGTAAATTCGTAATTTTACGATTTAACATCTTGCCTGTAATAGTAATAGTAATAGGAGTATGTTAAATTCAGTGTTAATTTCATGGCAATTATTGAGACTATAGTGCGTTTCATTGTTTGTGTCTTTTAATGATGCACGTTTTGTATAATTTAACCATTTAATGCAATAAATATCAGTTTTTTGTAAAATATAAAAGTTTTGCAGATGGTTTACCAACTTCTTCAAGACCGATTTTGTCTTCATGTCATTTTTTATCGATCACCAGAATTCACCTAATGTCCGTCTTCGCAACACGGAATGCTTCCTCACTGATAATAATAAATTGTCAATCATTAATCCATCATGTGAAAAGAAAGAATGTGAGCGCTATGCTACCTTACTCCCACATAATGTTTGAAATCAATTAATTTATCAATAAGTGAGCCTTTGTTCATTTAATATCAAGATAGCATAAAACGTACATTAGAATATTAATTCTAGCAACGAACATATAAACTTCAAATAATAGTGGTATATGTATAGTTACGTTAAAATGTCTGAGAATATGCTGGGTATTCAAAAGAGAGGCATATAACGGTGTTCTCTTTTAGCGGTTCCCAGCACTGAAACATCTGGTTCCATTTCGGCCGGTTTGGATACCAAATGTCCTTCAAACTCTTTTTTGATCTACAGACGGTTGTTCATAATTGGAGACTAATCGAAAGCCATTGTTTTGGGGACCAATCTTCCACTGCATTGTGACTTTTCATTTCGTTAGTCAAGATAATAAGAACTATTTAAATTAGAAAATAAACTCAACTGAATTAGAAAAGCAGAACCGTAAGTCCAAATTTCCAATTAAGATGTTCATGCACAAATCTCTGTGAGCTGAGAACTAGCCAGACGGTCTACCAGGACCATCTCTGAAGGAGACATACTGTATATAGTAAATATATAGGCCTCCATAAAGTACTATACCAAAAACACACCCTATGAGTGGGGCGGCCTTCGGACTCCGCCATTGCCTCCCACTTCTCCCCCAGCTAGACTGTACAGCTAGTTAATTATGTAATATAGTTTTACTAAGTTTTGTATAATAGAATATGTAGTTTAATATATAGATTCATTTAATTATTTATTATGTATATGCTTAAGCCTTTTCACCTTTAGCATTCAATTGTAGGTGCAACTAATGATAATAAAGGAATGCAAAACTCCAGATAGTTCTACTACTACCCATCTATTTTCTAAAATAAACCAAGTATCATGCCAGAAAAAAAGTGCTGTCTGACTATGAGGATCCTGTGTTACATAAAAGTTTGTCTAGTGGCAAGAAGCAATGTAAATTAAACATCTAATTTTCAGCACAATCAACTTACACAAATATAAATAATTTGATTGACCAATGAGCCAAATATCCAAGAGATAAATTCTTGCACAAGAATGTGTTTCAAGTCATAGTTATGGATGCCTTCCAAGAATCACAAAAAAGCATAACCAGTGTTGGTGTGGCTACCTGATTTTAAATACACAGCATCAATCCAACAGCATTTCTGAAATCACAATTGTCTGTCAATAATAACTCTGTATACAGAAAGCTGTAAAGCATAATAATAAGTCATACCTTAAATGATATCATTACATCATGCAATGAGAATTTTTCCTTCAGTGGCTGGTGAACCAATAGTTGAATATCTAAATTTAAAATTGTCCTAACTGGAGCACTTATTTAAGTTGAATAAACAGATATTACACTTACAGCTTAACACATGTTTGAATTATTCTTTGTAGTCCAAAATTCATGGCACTACCTTCTTGTGCATGCTTGCATACTCATAAGTTTTGCAACTTACACAGTTCTATGAAAAAAATGTCAGTCTTTTTTTTTTTTTTTTTTTTTTTTTTTTGCAAAAGTATTGCAAAAGATAGGTCTTAGTCTTACCTTCTTAGGACCTAATACATCCAGAACACATTTGTATGCAGATTGGTTATGATTTTCCTGTAATCTGCCAATTAAAGATCTTAATTCTTCAAACTGGGCTAACCTCAATTGAACATCACTAGTACTAGGGAAATTAGCAGGCAAAGGCTGCAAAGATGTGTTCATCCCAATGGCTACTTCTTTTATCTAACCCTAAGCCCAACAAATGAGAGAACTCTTCCTCTGAAAGGAAGCATCTGGCATGGCAAAGGGTTGATGGTGCCAAGACTCTCCTCAAAGATATTTTGCAATCTAAGCACTTGCAGGAAGAAATATGCTAATATATAATATATTGATCATATTATTTCAGCTATTATTGCTCTGTTCAAAAAATTTAAAATGCAAATCTAGTTAGCTTGTCAGTTGAATACTTATGGTTACTTACACAGATTACTTACATTGTTTTGGAATCCAAAAAGGATTTCATCATTCATTATGCAAGGCTTACAATGCAGTAGATCCTGCATGTCAATGGACATGACTGTGTTGGTCAGATTCCACCTGGATAGTTGTCAAAACTATATAAAGAGTTCTACGTTTACATTGTTGACTATATGTCAAATGCAAGCTTTGAGATATACAGTCAAACCTCTATAAAAGAACACAGTTGGGACAGCCAAGTTATGTTATATCATAGAGGCATTCTCTTGTAGAGCCTATTCATTTACTAATAACTCAGATTTGTCCCATGATAAAATATTCTTCATGAGAGGGTGTTCCTTTATAGAGGGTTCTTTTATTATTATTATTATTATGGAGGTTTGACTGTATGTGGAAAGTTTGTGTCAATTGGTACTCCTATTTGTGATAACATAATAAAACTATTGAGCAGATGACAACAATTACAATAACCAATGCATCTTGTGATGGGACATGTGTGTCAGCTGGATGCTGATACCCAAAGATTTTGACATTTTATATCCTTTTTCGTCAACTACAAAGCCGTGTGAAAGAACTTGCTGATAAGGCGCTTGGTTGGTTAAGATAACCGAAGTAATCAGTGAAGAGTTAAATCAGCCCCGAAATTGGTCTTGACCTTGTTGTAGTAGTAACAGCCAATGCCCAACAACTGAGAAAATATGGTAGTATTCTCTATTGTTGACATTGATAGGTTGAAATATGAAAATGCCTCCATGACATACTTTGGGAGCTCCTTGCTATATTCATCAAGCTGATCATCCATGTCCCCAACGCCCGAGTCACAAAGTTGTTACCTGTCGAATCAGCTGCTGGGAGTTTCAGTTGCAGCTCCCGCATTTGTTGTCGCGTCTCGTCTTAAGCTCGACCTCCTGCGTCTCCAACATATCCAACTCTTTCTTTTCCGCGACGCTAAGTTCGGTCTTGATGCTCAGTTCCTCCGATCTCTCCAGCTTCGCCTTCACGTTGTCTGGTATGCCTGTTGAATGGTTGTAAAGTTTGTGTTGCTCTAATATATGCTGATTCGGTGGCTTAATCAATGACGTATTAGTACACTCACCACTACTACCAAATAAAATAGATTTTTTCGAAAACCTCTATCGGCTGTATCTACTAAGCAAATAACATGATCTTTGCACCATTCAAGAGCTAATTAACTATACTTTTCGAAAAACGCACTAACGAGTTTATCCAACTAATTGTAATAAACCTGTGTTTCGATACATATGTTACATATATGTGTTCATATGAAAAATGTACGTGTAATCCATTACTGCAAAACTTATTGTTACTTGTATAGTAATAGTAAATACGAATAATACAAATTTTCGAAAAAATAGATACTATTGATGGGCAAAAACCGGCAAATACATTTTGGTAGTGAGTGTATATTAGGAACTTTCTAGACATTTCGGATATTTATTATAAAAACAGCACTGGTTAAACTTGCTTCAGAAATCAACCACAACTCGTTGAAACAATACATCGTTTTCAAAGCAATAAAAACAAATAACACTACGAAAAAAATGCTTACATTTACAAGCGAATTCTTTGTTGGAGTATTTATTGGCTTCGCTCTCGGCCTGTGGCTAAATGTAATAGTCGGCCTAATAATATGGGAGCTTTAATTTCAAAGGATGAAGTTACAATCCATAATAATAACAAAACTGTCAGCGGCGAACAAAATTTACTCGCGAAAAGTTGTGGAACGATCTAAACGAATCGGATCCATAATAAAATGGTGTTTGAAATTCACAAGTTAGTTGGTGAAGGAAAAGTTGCAGCTTCCACAATACGAAATTTTTATCTTCGACGAGCGACTCCGCGGAAAAAGACCAAAGAATTAGGTTATACTCATCAATGGCGAGTATTTTCCTCCCAATTTAAATTATCCCAAGATCCCTATCACCTTTGCATCCAACCTCTGAAACTCCAGAACTTAACCAAAGTTGGATTGTTCATTCTACACTTTTTTTTGTGTAAGTTGTATATTGGAAAGATCACATAGAAGTGTTTCAACTAATTGTCAATGAATTATTAATTAGTCGATGAAGGATAATAATAACAACGATAATGATAGTTTAACATATATTGATTTCGAGATAATGCTAGTATACTTCACAAGTACAGCAGTCCTCGACGTTTTGGGTGTTGGGAGGCTTTATTTCCTCGTAATTACACCGCTATTCATTTCTCTTCTACTATCCTTAATTTTTGCTTAGTAAGACTTTATTGAAACCGTTGAAACTATGGCTTCTGATTACCGTTGACCAAACCATAAAAGTTAAACGAATACAACCCATCCCCCCCCCCCCTGGAATTAATTTAACATTGATCCGCTGCTTTTCATTGAAAATACTGCGCGAAATTAATGATAATCATTAATTCTGAATAACTGTTATTAGTCTAACAGACACCATAAGTCTTTTCCGTTTTGTTTTTACTTCCCTTAAAGGCGAGCGTGGCATGCTTGAGGAGGGTCCATCGCTGTGAAGCAGAACTGTATCGGTCGGAATAAAAACAAAAGCGGTTATTGTCGGTCAACATGACGTTTAACGAATCAAGAACCTATGAAGTAACATAAATAGCATATGGTCTCTTATACCTACCGCATAGTTTGAATCGCACTTCGATCCATCTTATCCAAAAGTGATAGAGCCATTTTTATATCCTTTAATAATAATTCACAACGAACATGTGTAAAGTCCTCCTACATGAGATTTGTAGAAAAGAATTGTAAATTGATAAATGGTTCGCATTCAAAACTGTGAAATTATTATGTAAAATGATACCCACCCGCAAGACAACACGAAGTAACTTTATATGTTCAGCATGGGGTGCCATAGTATACGCGGGAACAACCCACCCGCGTTCACGAAGTCTGGTTGCAAGATCAAACTTGGTAAAGATAGTTCCAGTTAATCTCTATAGTGCGCTCACAAACAACGTTTCCCGACTTTAAACGAGTCATAACCATATCATCTATTCCGGTCGCACTTTCTCTCTCTTTCCGAATTTCATACCTCATCGTAATTCATCTTTTCGTTGTGTTTAAACCTGAACGCAACAAGTGGTAGGCCCTTTCCGTTTCTTTCACTTAAAATCTCAAACCTTCCCGTATCTTCCAACATCTTCGCGAGGCGATCAGCATGTCTTGTGATGTTTCCCATGATGGAGGTAAAGCCTTTTCGGCCAAGACGAATGAGAATGTAATATTGTGCAATCACATGCGATGCACCTTTTGAAAAATTCAATGTGAACGATGCCTGTTAAAATGAGAGCAAGAAGTAAATAAAAGCTGCAGTACACGCGATTATATATACTTTGAACTGAAGAATTCTCGCTCGTCAAATTTTGTCCATCCCATAATTCTCGTACCTGATCAGCCCCCAGGTAATTGATATTAAATACCAAATCTTTTGGCAAATATTTTGAGCTTCTCCATATAGCCCATCCAATACCGGGATAACACAGTCCATATTTGTGCCCAGAGACATTAATCGATTTGACTAACGGCAATCGGAAATCCCATAATAGATCAGGTTTCACAAATGGTGCTACAAATCCACCCGATGCTGCATCGACATGGATAGGGATCTCCACACCCGTAAGCGCTTTTTTGGCTAAGAGAAGATCGTTGACTGCCTTCACGTCTTCATAATGTCCGGTGTATGTTGAGCTGTGTGTATATGAGATGGGAATAGAATGGGAAGAGGAAAGAAAGTGGGCGACGGCGACATAATCAAAATAGAGTTGTCATATCCCGATTGAGACTGAGCAGAGATGAAATAAAGACTTGCCCTAAAATTACGCATATGCCTATGGTGTTCTCATCAACAAGCTCAACTGCCTTTTCGGGTAACAAAGTGTATTGACCTTCAGAGCAGTATACATAACTCTCTTCGACGTCAAAATATCTGCAAGCTATCAATTAATCCAAGAAACAAAACAGCAACTGTCAGATCGTGTTTTTAAGACCATGCGGACATTTCCTTCCCTACAAACGAACGAACCTTTCTCCCAGCATACTTGTACATTAGAACCCATAATCAAGTTGGGTTTATCAGTAGACAATCCTCGCGCGCGTCTTTGTTCTTGCCATCTTCGTTTCATAGCCAATACGGCGAGCATGATTGCTTCTGAGGATCCGACAGTAGAAACGCCCATCGCTTCTTGGCTTGGATTGTCTACTGGAGCGTGAAAGAGACGTGCAATGATGTTAACGCAGCGATTCTGTAGATATTTTACAGGACAGTATGTAAAAGAAAGTCGGATGAGTGCATTGATGCGATATGGTAAATCAAGTTTTTGCTAACAGATACGATGCTTCAAAGTTTACTATGCTGATCAGTAATTCTATATCATTACGAAAAGATTTAGACATAGTAAACAAGCTTATTCTTTTTTTCATCCGTCCATCAGTAGATTGATATACATGCGAGTACAAAACTATCCCCACAAGTATTTACACAATTAGGAAACGTGTCGTTCATCAATTCACCTGAATTTCAACCGACATCGGGTATTCTTCGAAATCAATAAAGTTTTTGGAGATGTTCTCGGCCATGAGCTTTTCAGCTTCCTCTTCCATATAAGTTGTTACAAATGACGCCAAATTTAGTGTTGGCTTGCTATCGAGCTGTGGTAAACAAATAGTCGCGTTCGTAGTGAGACATAATAGCTCGCGTCTTGGCAAATGAATACAACTGACTCTGTAGTTACCGCCAAGTCATCTTTGATCAACTTATATGCAACCTTGGTTAGGTGTTGCAATGATTAGTAGATCGCATCACACAAGCGAAAGATACTTTAATTTAATTTAATTCTTTTTTTGAGTCCTACTTGAGGTGGCATTTCATCTTCTGGTAGTTCGAATCTACGTTAATAAGATAAAATTTTAATTACTATAATTGTAGCATACAACAAGTGAGTGGTCATATCAATAATATAATACCTCGGAATGGGTTGATCCGACCATCTACTACCATAAACAGTGGTTGAGTAAACCTATATGATATTTATTGTAGCAGATATAATATTACGATACATTGGTTGACTCTCGAATCTTATTTTGTGTTGTCTCACCATTTCCGATGCTTCACCCTCACATTCACCTTCTTCCGCCAATCTACTGTCAGAAATTGCATTACTCAGAAACACCATCTTTTGATTCAGAAGAAATACGATTTCTCATTTTTTTCGAGGCTTGGGCACATTCTTTTTATATATTGTTCGTGAGAATGAGGCTGACCATTTGATATTGTAATTTAATTAATTTGCCTCCGTTTAAGGTTTAGCGGGATCTTGCATCTAATCGATTTTTGTTATTGAACTAACTAAATCGAGCGCCAAGCTATGCACGATGCGCTAAGCCAGTTTTAACTCGCTTACAGGGTAGAACAAAGATGCTATGACACATATAAGTCAAAACGGTAATGATAATAATACTCGCTTATCTGTCTGAGAAAGGCTAGATTAAAGATCCCATGATTAGATATGAGATGGGGAAGGCGCGAAGGATGAATGGCTGCAACTAGAGATTTCAGAGACTGTGAGTGCCGGATGGTCTGAGAACCGAGCTATGCATTGGGATTGGTGGGAGATAAGAGAAACAGTGACTATTTAGAATAACTGGATTCTTTCCCGGAATTACTCGTGTTACAAATTCAGACGCAGTGTTCAGATTCTTAGTGCGACCTCCCATTTTCTACATGTTCCATCCAATGTTCCAATGTACTATAATATTAACATACTGATTATTCCGGTAATCAGAAATGAAGTCTCAATATACTCGAACCCTAATTATTATAAATGAATCATTAACCATATCGATCGGATCGAAGAAACATACTACAGACAGATTATTATTATCAAAAATCGATATTCCCTCACGGTAATTTGCCTAGCACTGCTGTTATATGCGCGATGCAAAGTATTTGGTTATTTTAGATTTTATCGGCCTTGAAATAGACATTAAAAGGCTAGCATTATTATTACGGCATGCTTTAATATTACCGTTACTAAAGTTTGTATTACGTGAACAACAGACGCGCTTTTTACGCTTATCAAGTAACGTCCGTCGCGTTTCAGAATTTATAATTAAACACAACAGGTCAAATACATGTATATGCATAATATAACGTAATATTTTATGGTAGACTTGTTCTAAAATGAACGTAAATCATGGTTTGAAATTTTCCAAGTAAAAATTTCCCTTTTACCTTATCACAATTTATTATCAAGAAACAGCTCCCGCTTTTTGACATACAGAGTGACAATTATTAATACAGACAACAGAAAATAACAGTTGAGCGATTATGCAAGGTTGAATTTGTGTGGCATATTTAAAGCAACATACAGTAATTTTACACGCACAATTTTCAGTTGCTCTAAACAAATTATGAATTTACAGTGACCATGAAGGGGAAATCTTTCATATTAGAGATAAAAAAATCGAGGCGCCTGTGACTCACAATGATTGGGACTACAAGGTGAGTCAATTATTACGGAAAACTCCTGATTGATGACTATTGTTATGATTTCAACGCATAAATTGTATATGGTTTTCGTTTTAAGGCAGAATTTATGTTCGAGTGACATCATAAGAGAGTTGAATTATAATTATATATCGAGCGAGATTGGGAAAAGTTGTTGACGTCAATTCATATAACTGCAACATACCCGTCACCTAAGAGTGCGTTCAGTGAATTGCGCGTTCCTTCTCTTTTGAAAAGCATAGTAAAAATCGTCGCGGGCATTTGTGTTCTTCAGTCTGTACAATATTGCTATTTAAAAATACTCTTATCTTGTAATAAGTGCATTGTCATATGACCTTAACTTTCCCATTGTATTATTTATATTATTGCTATGTACAAGACTAACTTATCAACCAAAGCCAACTTTCAAAACCTAGTCTCAATTGCAAATTCTGTTTTCTAAATAGACGTCTAACAATCGATGACTTCTTAATTCTATATCCATTACATCCCGACTTTTTAAAGCGTCGTGCGCTCATCACCTATCTGCATCATCATTATTCTCGCTAACACTAGAAACATCGATACTACGTTGCCCCAGACCAGATATCCCATCTCCCTCATCATCAATATCCATATTTGCTAACGCATCATTGTTCTTATTACGCACTTCACTAATGACCTTGAATGTCTCTCCGCGTTCTTCTTCCGCTGTCCCAGCCTCCATCTTCGAAAATGCTTTATCACTCCTATCAAGCAGACGCTCTAAATCTTCGTCAGGAATAATAATGTCACCTTTCTGTACAAGGTGTACTTTTTCATTGTCTTCAGTAGCCAAGATTTCGGCTAGCTCGCCAAGCGTAGTACTCTTGCTTTCACCAGATGGAACTTTGAATTTACCTTTGTGCATTACAAGTTTTTCAAGCTTTCGCTTTGCAGTTGCTTTTTCAATTATTTTACTCTCCACCGTATTTACGGTGACTAGACGATAGATAACAACAGGCTTTGTTTGTCCGATGCGATGGCATCTGTCCTGTGCTTGAAGATCCATTTGGGGATTCTATCGGAACGGAAAAGGAAATCATTTGGTAAATTAAACGCACCCGCTTTGAAGGATGATGGATAGTGAAACCATTTTTACCCAGTCGCTGTCATAAATTATCACAGTATCAGCAGCCGTTAGATTAATTCCAAGCCCACCAGCGCGTGTTGAAAGAATGAATAATTTCATGTCAGGGTTGGTGTTAAAAGCTTGGATCTAGTAAAACATGATAATATATTAATACTGAGGACATAATATATTCCTTGACCACAAACATGAACCCAAGTTTAAAGTCATTGTCTTACTTGATCTCTTCGATCTTCTTGCTTAACACTTCCATCAATACGGCAAACTTTCCATCCTCTGATTTCGATTGCCCATTCTTCGATAATATCCAACATTGTCGTAAATTGGGAGAACAACAGCACCTTGTGATCACGATCGAATAGAGCAGAAAGTAGGCGATCCAGTAACATCATTTTTCCTGAACTAGTTACTAATTCTTCTGAAACAAGCGGATAACCAGTGCGTGGATCAGCAGGCCAGTCAAAAAGATATGGATGATTACAGACTTTTCGGAGTTGCATAACAATGTTTTGTAGTTTTAAACTGTTTACAAAGCGTACTAGACCAACAAAGTTTAATTTGATGTTAATATATAGAGTCGGTCGAGTAAACTTTAAAGTCATTAAGTGTTGAGATTACCAGCTTTGTCTTCAGAAGCCTTCTCTTCCCCAAACGCCGTCTTTCCCTTTTCCTTAAAACCATTCTCATTATCTTTCTTTAAACCATCAAAATATCTCTTATCTGATAGTTCTTCATATCTTATTCGTTGTTGTTGTCGCAAAGACCTCTTCCGTTGACTTGTCTGCCTCTTCCGTTCTGCTTCCAATTCTTCTGGTGACATTTCGGTGGATTTTTCCTCTGTCTCCGAGTCAGTTTCGCTTTCAGTAGGACTTGATTCTATACACCAAATTGTGCAAATTTGAAAGACGTTAGAATATCAAGATGACGCGTGAAGGATCCGTTTCGCATTACTTACCCTCTTGTATATCCATGGGTTCATTAGAGTCTTTGGGAGATTTCCCGGTTGTCATCTTGACCAAGTATTGTCTGATGTCTCTTCTGAGCACCGCGTCGTAAAGTGCTTTTTGTTGTGCCGATATAGGAGCGAAAAGAAGATACTCCTTCTTTTTCGGAAGTGCATTTTCAACTATTCAAAACAATGTTATTATTTGGAAAACTGGTGAGTCACGCATGAACACAAACGTCAAAAAGTAGTTACCGTCTGTTTTTAATCTTCTGAGTACAAAAGGCTTGAGAATTTTATGCAAATTAGAAATTATCATATTTTCTTGCTCCTCGGCAAGAATTCGTTGCTGCCCGTTTTCTTCATTCAGTGCTGAAAAATCAAACCTACAATCATGATGGCAATTTAATAAACGGCATTGAACTACGTTTGAACAACCCTCAAAAATTTACCAGTTTTGAAAACTATCCAGATCATCAAAGATATCAGGCAATAGGAAATTCAACAGACTCCATAGTTCTGCCAGATTATTCTGGTAACACATTCAAAGTTAGACTCAGCGCAAAACCGATAAAAACATATGCATTTTCTCTCGTAACCTACTTGTAATGGCGTTCCCGTTAGTAGCAATCTATTGGCTGATTGATATGACTTCAATTCGCGGATAAGTTTACAGTTGAGATTTTTGATACGGTGGCCTTCATCAACAACAATAAACTTCCATGCCAATTTCTATTTCGTAGGAAAATGTCAGCAATGCTTAATTGGCGCAATGATGCTCTAGAAATTCGATTGAAATTGCCAGTTACCTGTAAATACTTCCGATCATTCATCACGATTTCATAACTTGTCACCACAACAGGAAAAGTTGGATCTATTTTCCTCAGTCGTTTGTTACGGATGTGGGCGCGTTGCTCAGGTGTACCATGGTACAATACAACAGGAATCGAGGGTGACCATCTGCACGAAATACCAGGCCACGATTAGAAACCAACTGAAGTAATAAGTATCGTTACAAAAGTGCTATCAGTCCAACCTTTGGAATTCAGAAACCCAATTAGCAAGCGTAGATAATGGTGCTACTATAAGATAAGGACCATATAGTTGGCGTTCCCACAAGTACGCAAAAAATGCGATTGTCTGTAAGGTCTGGAATCAATATCATTGGATGAAGCAATATTAATTAAAAATGAACTGGTTCAGAATTTATGCATTTTGTATATCGACTCGTACCTTGCCCAATCCCATCTCATCAGCGAGAATGCCGTTAAGTCCATTATCATACAAACTTACGAGCCATTCTAACCCAGCCAATTGGTATTCACGAAGTGCACCACCCGTTATGAGTTTTGGTTGACGTGCGGATCTCTTTTCCGGTTGTTTCGCTGCTACTGATGATCCCACTGGTGTTGCGGTTTCATCCTGATTTTTACGTCTCTTTGCCAATTCCTGTACACGGATAATAGGGAATCGACGTTTAACGGTCTTTCATACTCAATACAATATTTGGTCAATTTTCAAAATGCATACTTCTGCGGTAGTATAATCTGAAATATATGTAGATTCTTCGTTTTTCCTCTTTCTTCTAACGGATTTTCTTTTCACCACGGATTCG